GTCACTGTCATGCATTAAAATAAAGCAAAACAAACAGGAACCGCAGACAATAGGGTCAATATATGAGGTGAAGGAAACACATACTGACACACACATCATCCTCTACACTGATGACATCAATAAGATGTCAGTGAGATTTCTTCCATCCTGACTTCTTAATCTTTTTTCATACACACACACACATACACTTAAACATTCTTAAAGCAAGGCCGTGTTTGCTTAGCTGAGAGCCATTATTCATGGGGATGAAATGGAGCATTCCCTGAACAAAGGGGGGGTGAATCCTGTGAATCATCAATATGCAATATCTCAGAGTTCGCAGTGACGGATGACTGCTCAAATTATTCTTCATGCACACAGTGCATTTATACAGACTCAAAGCTGTTGTACCAAAATCAGTTCTCCACAAACAATCATCACTTGCTTCTAAAATAAGCAAATACAAAAGGAGAACAAGATGGGACAAGAGAAACAAGGGTGAGGTATCTGCCCTCTGGCACTGCTTGCAAATATGCTGCAATCCAGCAGCAGCCTTCTCATGTGGAAATATCAGTCTGCCTCTTTGCCATTTTACTATTTTTTAAGGTGACTGCACAAACGTTTTGGATATAGTATTGGTCAACATGATATTTTATTTTTTTCAGTTCAATTATAAAGAGTAAAATGAGAAAATTTCATAATCATGTTCATTTTACAAAATGTATGTTTTTCATCTTTAAAGGGGTCATATGATGCGATTTCATTTTTTCCTTTCTCTTTGGAGTGTTACAAGCTCTTGGTGCATAAAGAAGATCTGTAAAGTTGTAAAGACTAAAGTCTCAAATCCAAAGAGATATTCTTTTTTGCATCTACAATAGGTGGTAACTGCATAAAAACAATTAGATTTTAAATTATTTACAGCTCTTACAATTCAAATAATTAAATAAAAATGTTTTAATTAAATACATTTTAATTATAATATATAATATAATTATAATATTTCATTAGAATATTCAGGTGAAAAGTCAATGCATCAATGCATTTTCTCTGATTTAATTAATTCAAACCATTTATATATAACTTGTATAAAATATATATAAAGTGTTTTGATATGTATTATAATATTTGATTATGTAAACATTGTATAAAGTATATTCTTATATTTTTATATGTATGAAAATGTAGCGTCTGCGTAGGATCATGCATGATTTTTGGGGTTTTATGGTTTAAGAAGACCCTTTTAGCTTTTGACATTTGCATATAAATTACAGTCCTGGTCCCAGACGTCACACTTATATGGGTACTAAATGTCACAATACAAATTATTTTGTTAAAATGAAAAACATCTTAATCAACATATTAAAATTTGATGACGTAAAATTGACTTGAGACCAAAATCATCTCTACCCTTATTTGACAAGCAGGCAACATAAATGCATCAAAGAATGCTTAAATCTATCTCACAGTTACACTTTAACAAGTCAGTGAGAGACAGAGAGTAAATGAAAAGCCCAGAGGAAGAATACTAGTGGAAGAGAATGTACATAAAAGAAATTCTTTAGGCAGAGTGAAACTCAATTTGTGGAAGGTAAGTGGAAAAAACAAAAGGGTTTAAAACTTAAGAGGAAGCAGAGAGTTGCACAAGACGTTAAAAAGAGATATGGAAAGCCAAACGATTGATGTATGAGGGAGAAGGAAACAGCAAGCACAGGGTAATGGGTTAAGGGAGGCAGAAGGAGACAGTCAAAAGTTCTCCTTTACCCGTCTGTGTTCTTAAGTGAACTGGTGGAACGAGACCGGGGCTTCATGATAATGCTCATTCTGGATGTGGATTTCCCTCTGCTAGCGGCTACAGTAAATCCCAGCAGTGTGTGTTTGTTTTCAGTCCTCACGTGTGTCTCCGAGCATGAACATAACTCGGTCAAGATGGCCCTGCCTCTGTTTGTCCGACTGACAGAAGCCCCTCGTGTCCCGGGACTCTCAAACTGACCAGACAGGCGTTCCAGTGTTTCTGCCACTCAGCAATCGGCTGCTATAATGCAAGACAATCTGCCTCTCCCCCACTCGCTATCTGTCCTGAAACTCCCACCCTGTGTACATTCCTCCCTCCCTTCCTGGCTGGCTGCAGGGCTCACTGCTTGGACTCGTGTAGTCATGACGTAGTCGGGGGTAGGGCGATCCTCATGTTTGATATGACTGAATGGTGGGGGCAACTTAACACCTCAACTCGTGAGGTTTCAAATAACAGGGAAAAATGAAAGGTAAGTGATCCCAACGGATGTTTATACTCCCTAAAAGTGGTTGGAAGGAGTTGTCCAGTAGTATGAATTCATGCTGAGTCAAAAGATTTAGTGTGAAATTGCATATCCTGTGTAGCCTGGAAATTCAAAACCACTTCATCTACACGAGTCATTCACAATGGACTTATTTAAAGCACTTTCACATACTGTGCAATGACCAGCATGTAATAATATAAGAGTCATTTAATGCCCAAAACAGACAATGAGGGCTCTTCAAACATCACTGAAAAGTAAAAAAAAAGACTAGTACTCAATGTCATGTACCACTTTTCAATTAGAGAACTCTTCAACAAAGAAAACTGAACACATGTGGCTGTGCTTGTATAGTTTGCGGCAGCTAGTCTCACGCTGCGACTAACGGTTCACACATTAACGCATGAGCCTTAAGAGGTGTTCCAGTGACGCATGATATGTGTCAACCAATGACAGCGAAGCAGGGAGTATCGCTTGCAGCTCTGCTCACTCGATGGTTTCAATAAACATTTAGACAACAAGCTTGATTTTATCTTCAGTGAAAGTTTACAGATGTCTGATGATAAAGTAATTGGCTTAGGAGAAATTAGTTCTAAATGACAACAAACAGAAAAAGAGACTTTCATGGTGATTGTGTGTTTGTCTCACTATGTATAGAAACAGCAAAATAAATATCACAGGCTATCAACAGCTGATCTAAGTTTGTGCGCATCATTGCCCCCTGTTGTTCACAAGAGATTAAAGCAGATAGTACTAGATCAAATCATGAACATCGCCTAACAAAGTCAATTACAGAGAATAAAAACAGAATGTAAACAATTAAGTGTTCATTTCAAGTGCTGTGGAATTAACCAACACTGTATCGGGTAATGAGAACCTGCTATTGACAGTGATTTAACCTTGCATTTTTTGAAAGGGAAAAAAAGGATGTATTCCAAATTTAAAATGGATTGAAAGCTTTTCTGTTACTTTTTTTTAAACAATAATCTTTTTTATTTCCAAATCAGCAACAAAGACTATTTGCAAGATATAAATATATTAATCTGCAATCTATATATAAATTAGGGCTGTCAAAATGGCTGAAAAACTAAATTAGAATTTTGTACTTAAATATTATCAATATTCGAATTATATTCGAATTTAAAAGGCATAATTTCAGTTAGGGGGGAAAAAAGCTTTTGGCTCTTTAAAAAGTTGAACTTATATTAATTTTCCATGGCTCTCTCTTGTGCGAGACGTGAGTGCAACGGTGATAGATGTCCCTCTAGAAAATGCGATAAATATGCGTTCTGTGTGAACGGTTTGGTTTCGGTTTTGACGTAAACAACATCATCTCAGCATTGATATTCTTTTTTCGCGCAATATTTTGAATGAACAACGTAGCAGCGCCGCATCTAGTGGGTTCAACTGGATAGACTAACAAAAACATTAAAATGCAATGACACTTACATGGTCGTCGCATTTCGTGCTTCACTGATAAGGCTGCCTGACGCACACCTAAAATGTGGATTTTTATTTTAAATTCGATGAATATTCGAAATTCGAATTTTTTTTGACAGCCCTAATATAAATTAAAAAATATAAATGAAAAAGATACCAATAATCAATTAACTGTAAATAAAAATTGGTAATATACAAGAGTAAGATAATATAAAAATATTTTTTATAGCCATATCAGCAACAAAGAATATTTTCATAGAAAGATGAAAAATGGAAATTGGAAAAGGTAACATTCAGAAATAGCATGCTATTATTTTTTTTCTTTTTCTTTTTTTTTTGCTTCAGCCAGCAGAAATCGTAATAAACAGACTGTTTTACAAACATTACAACTTATAAAACACGTGACAACTAAACCCGATATCAACATGCCCACTTGTCATTTATGCAACTTAAGCCAAGGTTCAATTATATAATGTGTCCCAGTGCGGTTTTATCATGTTTACTTGTTTACCCAAGAGAAATTACAATAATATGCACTAGAAATTTAGCTTGAAGAATCCTTAAGACAGTTATGAAATCAGATGACCACTGCAAATAAATAAATACATTTTAAAAATCCCCAAAATTAGGGGTGCTCCGACTGATTGGCTACGATAATCGCTTGGGAAGTTTGATCGGGGGTCTCAATAAAGGCCGATTTCATAAACCGATCTCAATCTCTGTCCGGCATGGGTAAAATAATTATAATAAGGTGAGGTACAATTCATATTTCTTTATTAAATGACTTTCAAGGTAATATGGAAACTTTCTGTGAGACGTAATTTCACAAACAGTGTGAGTGAATCACCTCGCTCTCTCTCTCTCTTCCTCTCAAAATGTGCAAATGGCTTCAAATCACCACATCGCGTCTACACTATAAGCAAGCTGCACACTGCACAGTTGACACAACACGAATTGTCACTTGCACAATCAAAGCAATGTCGCATCGTCACTAAAGTTTATAATTTGCATTTATTTTTAAGTCTGGCCAGTGTTTAAACCATTCAGCACTCTCCTAGAGACGGTGCGCTCATGAACACTCAAAGGGCACACACACATAAGGCCGCCTCACATACAGCTCATGAAATCAGGCTTGTGCTGTGCGTAAGCTATTGTGCAGCAATTGCCCCATTGTAAAAACAAGAATGCACTGCATGATCAAACATCTAGGTAAGATAATTATATATTTTTGAAAAATGTCTAACAAATGCAGATTAAAAAGGTATGCTGTAAACCATATATCTGATTAATGTGCAAGTTTTTATGTACCTGCGTGACTTGAACCAGCGGTTCCTTTTCTTGCCTTTCAGTGAGTTTATATCAAGCTGGCAGCCGTTCCGAGTGAAAGTGCTAAGAAAGAGAGAAAGAGGAGAACCGCCAGGAGATTCACTAGCCATGGTGTCCTTAGGAAACTAACAGCTTGACTGACCCCAACTAAGAGCTTCAGCTTTGTGTGAGGAAAATGTCCACGTCACTACTCTGACCTCATCCCATAATCCAATAACACCTGTCTGGCCTTCTCGCATCCAACTGCCATGTCGGTAACACAAGCTTCTGTGCTGGTAAACTGTACATGAAACTATGTCACTAGACAGTAATCATAGTAATCAGCTTTAAAAAAAAAAAAAAACATTATAGTTTTGTAAACTTGTAAGAACAGTTCTATGTGAAAAGCCAAAATCAGGAGCTTTATCCTCCAAGCATGCAGTAATAGTTCTGACAAGTGTGGTTCGGGACAGGATTAACTGAATTTCAATTGAGATACTAGAAGGTGCTTGTTTCACAAGTCACAACTGTTCATATATGTTCAGACTAAGCATCTAAAAATGTAACAAAATTCAAAACATATTTGAATACTTATTGATATTTCAAGCTAAAGTTTTTTCTTGCACTCAAAAGTATTCAAATGTGACAGGGCTAAAGTCTAAAATGTGTAATTATTCAAATTAAATTAAATGAATCATTTAAATTAACAAGCTGTTATGAAATTCACCAGAGTACTTTGTTACAGTGCCATAAACACCATAAACATTTAATAATCAATATTGAAATATATATATATAAAAAAGTGTTTCTGATATGAGTTTTTTAATGATTTAGGCAAAAGGCCCCAGGGATGATATGGAGGCAATTGTGATATGGCAAAATTAGTCATTTTCAAGTAACAATCAAGTAGAAACTTATTCAAACTACTTAAGCAAATGTTAGATTAAATACTATATTAAATGTGACAACTTTGTGACACAAAGTTCTGTGGTAGCGTTTCTTTCCATTTAGTGCTTTGAAAGAAAATAAAAACTCTATGCCCTGGTCTTAAGCCTTGTTAAAGTTTTGACCCATACCCTAGAGTGTCTTTGTGTCATCAGCAAGGTCATCTATGGTTTAATGTGTTCAACTGAGGTAAGGTGAGAAGAACATTTTAAATGTTTATATGTGTGGCCACCAGCTGCTTTAAGTACTACAGTGCATCTCATCCTCATGCACCAGATTTGCGAGTTCTTGCTGTGAGGGGTTACTGTTTTACTCAACTCTTTCATTAAGGCAAGTTCTCAAACACTTCTGGGGGGACACTTGGTTACATGTGGTTTGCCACTGCGAGGACAATCAGCTGTCCTTCCTCCCTGTAGAACTTTTTTAGGCGCCTTACATTATGGATATGGCAGTTTATTGCTCTGGCCACATCTGCAGTCCTCATGCCTCCCTGCAGCAGGACACAATTATCTCTTTAACTCTTTCCAATAAAGATCTGTAAAGCTTATTTTGATTTTACAAAATTATCTTTAAAATACAGTATCCTGAATAGGGGAAAACATTTTTTTTTGCTGAATTTATATACAGACATACACATTTAATATTTATATTTTATAACATTTAGCATTACAGCATTTAATTAACTTTTTTTTTCAAGCCAAAATGCATCCATGCAGTCTGCATGCATCCATCCAAGTGCTGCATTGATACCAGATGGCAAGTGTCTGGAAATGTACTGCTTCATCTCCACATGCACTCATCACACTCCCACTCACCTACAACCAATTATTAGTAAAAATAAATCATCAGGAGTTGATCTAAGCAAAACCACACATGATATTAAAAGTGTTGAATATGTTCTAAATCTGATAAATGTGCTAAACCTCCTACTCATAATTACTTGGATGAAATAAACCCATGCAGAGACAGACTCAACATTAGCAGCTGATGCCGTCTGAATGAAGAAGCAGAACGCAGCATGATTTGAATGGGTCTGTGCTACTATACAGAAAAAAAAATCCAGTTATATAAAATCACCTTGATTTTTTTTCTCCTGAAAACTGAATTTATACTTCGCATGTTATGTGACATGTCCTTTACCTGTTCAAGTCTGTGTTTCAGTGGTAGTGTGTGTGCGTGTGTGTGTGTGCGCGCTTTATTTGCATTAGCATAAGGCACATATCTGATAGTGATTCTCTGTTGCTGAGCATTTGTCTTTGGCACAATACACACCGATTTACTCTCTCTCACTTGCAAACACACACACATTCAAATTTTTCTCAATGTGTACTGTAGTTATTGACACACACTTGCTCCGTGCTGGACTGCACAAATGTCAAAACAATGACATATATTACAGTTATTAGTAGTAATGCTACAAATATGAATCTTTTTATGAATTAACACACATTTGTTATGTAAGTTTCCACAATATCTGACATTAGCACAGCACAGGTCACGAGTGCCACTCAATTCGACCTATTTATTGCCATTTATCTAACCGAGCTGTAGATAAAACAGGTTTATCGGTGGCGAGAAGCATTAAAGGATCTTTAAGGAAATCAATGGGCTCATTACCAGTTGTTTTCACATCCTATTATTAACCACAGGCTTAAACAAAATCATACATGCTTACATGCTTTTTCTTTTAAATGCAACATCAGAAGATTAAAAGCTAGTAATAAGCTTAAGTGTAACCACTGACACAAAAACATGTATTCAGTCATTAAATAGCCTACGTTAATAGGAAATACACTATAAAATACAAAACATCCGGAATTCTTTCCACACTATATCCCAAGGAAACATTTAACGAGGACAACAAATCAAATCTCACATGCTAATGTCCCTGAATTAGAATTCAGTCTTAAATCGAATTATAAACGTAGCAGCAGACTATTCTGACACACATTACACACACAAAGCTTTACCATTTTCTCCGGGGTTTGATGTCAATAGGTTTGTTGATGGCATACGGCGAGCCATTGATGCAAGCGCTACGGTAACGGGCGATCTTCTCTAGAGAACAAAGTTCTGAGTTTGCTGGCAAACTCATCGACGGGTTACAGTCAAAGCTGAACATGACCAACTACAGCTGAGCAAGCCTTCCTGGGTCAGTTTGACCAGTTTTCAGTACTGTGAGTAAAATTGAGAGTGAAGGGGTTGAGTGAGGACTGAAGGATGAGCAAAAAGGAAGAGGAGGGAGAAAGAGAGAGAGAGAGAGCAGGAGGTGGGTGAACAAGAAGCAGGTAGGTGCTGAAATCATTGGCGAGATCAGTAAGCTCAATCAGCCATTCATGATCTTTAATGAAGACCATCCAGAGTCAACGTGTGAGTGTCTAAGCGTGCACAATCCTGCATGCATGTTTTGTAGAATTCTCCTGATCTGCTTCAATCATACTTATATTGGCTCAGTGCCATTTCTAAAAAGCTTTTATGTCCTGACTCTCTGCCCTTAATCAGACAGACGGGGCTGACGCACATCAAGAACATAGTCTCGCAAATGACAAGATGCCACAGACATTATATTTCTACTTTCAGCCAATTTAACCCAGTGCAACAGCTTTAGGCTGTTAACACAGTCTTTCATGTGTACTGGACCTAATGTCTTGTTATTCAATGAAATTTTGGCATTCAATGCATGCCACATTGTTTGTGCTACAGACTTTAATAATTCTCCAATCTCCAAAGCAATCAGACCCCTTGGGGGCTCTCTAAAGCCATTAAAACAATAATTTTTTGAAGGAAACTGGATTGAAATGCACTTAAATACAATCAGAAAACCTTAGCAACTGCACAGCAATGCCCTGTTAACCTCAACCTCCTAACACTGTGACCAAGCAATACTGACAATTTGGTCAGATTTTTTTTTCTAATATTGGATGTGAACATCAATATTAAGAACTTCAAGCACAAATGAGGACTGAATAATCCCTGATATTAGAAGCTAAAAGATCTGAGTGGTAATACTGAAAAACACAACTGACAGAGCAATCAATTTAAGTTTTAGAAGAGAGGTTGCTCTCCTAAATCACTTAAAAAGTCTGCTTAGATCACTAGATGGCAGCAGACCAACAGAATATTACAAGCTCGGGTCTGGTTAGCCCCTGTTGTAAGATACCATAACTACACCATAATGGAGACAAAAAGCTCTATTTACGGCCATTCAAAACATTTTGTGACTACATTTTTAATTTTATTTTTTTACAGAAAACATAAATGCAAACATTTATTTTATAGGTGAGCCTGTCAGAAAGGCTATATCTTAGTAACTGTGTATTTAGTGAATTCTGTCAACCATATATTTTGCAATTTCTCCTTTTGTCTTCCTTAGATGAAAGAACAACATGAGGGCATAAGAACTATTCTTTTAAGTATTGGCAAAGAGCAAGGAAATGCCAGTAATTCGATGAGACAGATTTTAATTTTAAAGTTGAACTGTGTTCTCTGTCTATTAAAAGTATGTGCCTACATTGAAATTGCTAGAGAAAAACACCTGCCACTAGCGGTACCTTATCTGGCTCTCCAGCTAAACCTGAGAGTAGCTTTGCAGTAGATTTCTCCATTTGTTACCACTAGGGATCACGCTATCACCAGCTGTAACACAGTTACTTTAACAAGGGTCTCTCACTCTGAGACTGAACATCTCATCACAACAGGAGGGGGGGGGTTTGGATGCAGTCACAGCAATAGAGAAATGTGTCCAAGGCCAAAAACCCATTACCACACAACACTTATGTAATGATCATAGTGCTTCATAGCAAAAGTCGAATTTGCCACAGAGTACATGAATATATTATATATACATAAATTGAATGAGTTGCTCTGGAATGAGCTTCAGGCATCCAAGTGTGGCGAAACCTCCATATTAACATGCGTATTTATCATTCATTACCATCAAACGACAATCAGAGCTGCTAGTGATGAAAATCCCTATAAGCTCTGCCAAGTATAGCCTATAATAAACTCAGCTTATCCAGGCTAACCTGCTATGTAATGCCATTGCAACTGCCCTTCCAGAAGACAAAGTGTACGGCTTTGTTTGCAGGCTGGGAGGTAGTTCCCATCATCCATCACTGTTCTTCAGTAAAAGGTGAGAAAAAGCCACGCCATCTCTCACTGTCAGCGAGGGCCACTGACGTCTCGTCTGCTTCGCA